TATATATATATATATATATATATATATATATATATATATATATATATATATATATATATATATATATATATGTCGAATTCGAATGCGTGGAATCAAGTTTTTTTCGCATTATACCAAAATTTTCAAAGTACAAAGTTTAAAAGTAAATCCTACACCAATAGAATTTCAAACAATTCATCTATTCTTCAACTTTCTGAAAAGTTTTCTCGATGCGAGATACACCTACAATAATTTAGATGAATTTGAATATATTTTACAATTCAAATCGGGTTACTATAATACAAACTTCTACGACATTTGCAATGATTTTACTCATGAGAACATTGCTAATATAAATGGATATCATCTGTTAACCAGCTCAACATGGAACGTTGTTGGGCAATAATCTATCTTTGTATGATGTCGCAGAAAACAGAGAATATCGATGATTCGGTTAAATGAAATACAATTTCAAGAACTGGAAAATAATATTTTTTTTGGAAATTGAAGTCGCTATCAATCAGAATTTCCTGACTTAGTGTTGAAGATTTATTGACGATTACACGTGATACGACTGTTGAGGTCAGAATCCAACGCATACATATTTCCACTGCGAAAATTCATCAATACCTTGTGAGCCGCCTTCACGACCCAAACCGCTTTCCTTAATTCCACCGAAAGCTGCTTCTGCGCATGATACCATTCCTAAAACGATTGAACTTCATCTGAATTAGAATTTTGGAAAGCGTGAAATTTCTAGAATTATGGACAGACTCATAAGTGGCGGTGCATGCAGCAATGCCACACGTGCATAAATGCTATGGAACACTGAAGAATTGATCAAAGAGGAAAAGTAAGAACTAATTAATTAGCATACCTTCATTGACACCAATAATCCCAACCTGCAAGCTACGACTAACACGCAATATCTGAGCATAATCCGTTGTGAATATATAACCTTAAAGTTTATTTTGTCGACAAAGCCTCAGTGAAATATATTTTGGTGTAAACAACAGAGAGATTATACCCAAAAAATTTTCACCCCACGCACATTAAGGTATGACTTCAATGGTGCCAGCAGATGGTTGTCAAAGATGAGAAATTGGAATATCTCTTGTTTTGCCTCCAACTGACTCGGCTCTATTGTCAAGTCTTCATAATCGACCCAGCAAATGAATAATAGCAAAATGTTGAAAATTCCGAAAAATTTTGAGAATTATTATTTCACTGTTAGAAAAGAAGACCGGTATTTTGTCTGCAATAAAATTGCAAGATATACTAACCAGCTAAGCCAGTTCTGCAGTGGTTTGCTAATGCCAGAACTTCCTCCTCCGTTTCGAACCTGAAATTATATTGTTTTGGACATCAAACTTATATCCTCATTGATTTCTGGGTGCAAGTAGGGCTGTTGGATTACTGAAATTAAAGCTATGTTCAAATAAGATTTCCACAATACCTAACGGACAGGGTGATGAAATCTTAAAATTAAAGCAATAAAGAGAATACAAGCTAACAATGGATAGCATAACAGAAAGACATCTCAGTATCTACACCACAGACAATGATATCCAATGTACCTACATAATGGACAATGCCAAAGGGCAACGATGCCTCCATGATGATCCCTTACAAAACTCCTCCCTCATCCTTACATATATATGAGGAAAAATTCGAAACTTCAGTTTTTCTTTTTTTTTTTACAATCAAGCAAACTGCAACATCCTCTTCGCATATCCACCACCATCATTGAACAACAGACTACAGTATCTCTCCTTTTCGCTAAAATTATTTCCTGCAACATATCCCCAGTTCAACGAAGGACGAATTCTCATATCTCAACCATTACGTAACCTATCAATAAAACGATAATCAAACTATCATCGAAGCAACGACAAGGAATTTGTTAGTTAATCACAACGCTTGCTTATTATATAACTCATTTATCACTGCTTACCAATTCACCGCGTAATATATACATATATTATTTTACACCTTTCTTGTTGTTAACTAG